GGGAAGCCACATCTGGATGACAGACCATACCACAGGACGAGAGAGAACATCTGGTCCACTCAAAAGACAAATGAGATCCTGGTGGGGCTGGTGGAAACGGCGAAGGAACCTGGCGTGTGGAAGCCAACATAATGTCAGGAAAACGTATTTGGCTGCATCCCCCAAAGCTTTGGCGGCAACGTGAACGGTTAACAGCAAAAGTAGAGAATGCAGAAAAAAGAAATGTTCAGGATTAGGGGAGGTGATATTCATTCAATTAAAAAAACAACACCCAATGCAATCCTTGACTGCATTAACAGAGGGAGAGTATCAGGATCACGTGAAGCGTTAGTACCACTATATAATACCTTGGTGAGATCACACCTGGAATAAAATGCATCCAGTTTTGGTTACCAAATGTAGGATAAATAGCTCAGCAGTTTCTTTACCCTTTATTTATAAGCATAAGCATAAGATATATAAACCCCATCTATAGAAATATTAAAACAAAAGTCCATAAAAAGGATTTACATTCTCAACGACATGGTGAAACGAAGGAGGAAAAAAATATTAGGCAGGCAAAACCAAATGCACAGGTGGGGAAGAGATGGTACCTGGCTCAATAGTAGCAACTGTGAGAGGGATCTCGGAGTCCTAGTGGACAATCCCTTAGATAGGAGCCAGCCGTGTGCTGCAGCTGCCAAAAAAGCCAACACAGTGCTAGGCTGCATTAACAGCGGGATAGAATCAAGATCAGGTGAAGTGTTAATACCACTTTACAAGGCCTTGGTAAGGCCACACTTGGAATACAGCATCCAGTTTTGGTCACTGTGATGTAAAAAAGATGTTGAGACTCTAGAAAGAGTACAGAGAAGAGCAACAAAGATGATTAGGGGACTGGAGGCTAAAGCATATAAGGAACGGTTGCAGGAATTGGGTATGTCTAGTTTAACAAAGAGAAGGATGAGGGGTGACATGATAGCAGTCTTCCAATATCTCAGGGGCTGTCCCAAAGAAGAGGGAGTCAAGCCATTCTCCAAAGTGCCTGAAGGCAGGACAAGAAGCAACAGGTGGAAACTAATCAAGGAGAGAAGCAACTTAGAACTAAGGAGAAATTTCCTGACAGTTAGAACAATTAATCAGTGGAACAACCTGCCTCCTGAAGTTGTGGGTGCTCCAACACTGGAAGTTTTTAAGAAGAGACTGGACAATCCAGATTGCCTCTGTGCTGTGCCCTGGGTCATCACACCGGCTTTTGTTAATTCACATTCATTATTATGTGACCTCCGTTCTGGGAGGATAAGAGAGAACAGCCAGAAAGAATGATAAGGAATAAAATTAACCCCGGAGACAAACTTGCAGAGGTACGTAGAGGTGTAATACCTCCAATTTATTTGTGAAGTCTTAATGGTGGGTCAATTCAAATCATCAAATCATCCATTCGAATCGTCAAAAGAGAAAATGCTCAGAGAGTCCTCGGCGTACGACCGCAACTGAGCCCCAAATTTTCCATCGCTCCATGAGAAAGGTGTTAAGGGAGTTTTGCCTCGTTTCATGACCTTTCTTTGCCACAGTCGTTAAGCGAATCGCTGCAGTTTTTAAGTGAATCTGACCTTGCTTGTCTGAAGGTCGCAAAAGGGGATCACGTGATCCGGGGGACCCTGCAACCGTCATAAATATGAGTCCGTTGCCATTAGAGGGGATTTTATATTGCCAATTACAGGGTTAAAGGGAGATGTTGAGACAGGGGGAATTTTGGTTATTAGATTTATAATATTTGGAAACTAGTTGAAAATAAGGATTTTTATCGGCTTAATATTTAAAAATTAGACCTAAAATGGAAAAGAAAGTTAAGTATTATGAATATGTTGGATTTATTGATTAACCCAGGCAATATATATAATGGTTTTGATTTATTAAAGGGGATGTTGTGATATTAAGTAGATGATTTAATATGGTGGGAAATAGATAACACTTAGGAAATAGGACAAGATTACATTCAAATAGATAAAATGTGTATTTTGGATATTATAGTTTGTTATGAAGTGAGATAAGGGAAATGTCGGTTATCCAAAGTCTGAAAATTATAAATATCAAAGGTTAAATTGGAATATTGATAAAAAATTAAAAATGGAGTAAAAATTAATAACAGGATACGGATTGTTTATGAAGACTGAATTTAATTAAGGTATGTATCAGCTAAAAATGTATTGATAAATGTAATAATGATGTTCTTATTGAGTTGATATAATTAGAAATGTACCAACCTGAATATGAGACAGTAAATGTTAAGGGAAAAAGAGAAGAAATATTTGATGTTGTAACCTGAGATTTGCACTAAGATTTTGTTATTGAACTATTGTAACCCAGTTACCACATTGCTTTTTAAATATTCAAATGTAAAATTCGAGTAGCATAACTTCCGGCACTAACATAATCGAAGCCAAAAACTGAATTCCCCTCCCCTTAGCACATAGCACAATTCCCTCCTCCAATTAACAGTCATAAATCACATTCCCCAATTAGTTTGAAATGCAGGCTTTCCCTCCAGTTCTCCAGCCCGCCAATTCTTATCATCTCTTATTTCAACAACCTTGGTTCTCACGCTAGGTTCAGTGTTGTTATGTCTAGCTGGGACTCTCATGTACATTCCCCATCCCTCCCCAGCATCATCTAACTCTAAAAATGAAAAGAGGAAAATGGCTACATCGCCAACTGTTGTCAATGCAAAAACATCCGATGTTAGCAGCCTTGACACAAAGATTACCTGTATGGTTAAGGATACGTCCTGCCCACAAAACCCAAAAACTCCTCCTCATTCACCAATAAGAAGGCAAGGATCCTGGTTTCTAGACCTTCCCACTTGTGACTAATCACCAGGTCCCATTGGTAGGCTTGCTAACTTCCTTTTAAACTATGGTTCCTACAACTTACGTAAGGCCACTTTTAGAAGAGCCCATCAGGTACATTTTAACTATTTTAACACATTAGGAAATTTAATAATAAATATACAATAAGTGTACGCATGTATTGCAATTCGGCAATACGCACGCACAATCACAGTGGTCAGAAGCAATAGGAGTGTCGGCAGGGAAATAGTTCATTTCTGAATGATAGAGCAAATAGGTTACAAAGCCCTTGATTACTTTTTTTTTAAGGCAACAGAGAGAAGAAAAAAACTTCTGTTTGTGTGGTTTAGCTGAATGGCTCCTTCCATTATTCTCTGGCTGAAAAAGTCACTCTGTTAGAGACAACGCCTTTCTCTCCTGGATGTGCTACTGAGGAAGGAGAAAAGGGTCCTTTGGTGTGGTGAACTGCCTGCTTTTAATTCTGTTTAATTCATCAAACATCAAGTTCATATCAAAATAGGGGGGAGGGAGGGAAGGAGGGAGGAAGGAAGAAGGGAGGGAGGGAGGGAGGAAGGGAGCAATGGATGGATGAAAGGAAGGAAGGAAAAGAAGGAAGAGAGAGATGGATGGATGGATGGATGGATGGATGGATGGGAAGGGGAGTGGAAGGGATGATGAGAAGAGAAGTGGAAGGAGGGAGGAAAGAAGGAAGGAAGGAAGGAAGGAAGGAAGGAAGGAAGGAAGGAAGGAAGGAAGGAAGGAAGGGAATGATACATGGATGGAAGGAAAGGAAACAAGGAAGAGAGGGATGGATGGATGGATGGATGGATGGATGGATGGATGGATGGATGGATGGATGGATGGAAGGATGGATGGACTGACAGATGGGAAGGGGAGTGGAAGGGATGATGAGAAGTGGAAGGAGGCAGGAAAGAAGCAAGCAAGGAAGGAAGGGAATGATACATGGATGGAAGAAAAGGAAAGATGGAAGAGAGGGATGGATGGATGGATGAATGGATGGATGGATGGATGGATGGAGAAAAGGGGAGGGAGGGAAGAAGGAATGAAGGAAGTAGGGATGGGAGTGTTGGATAGATGGAAGGGAAGGAAGGAAAGAAAGAAGAAACCGATGGATGGATGGAGGAAGGGAAGGGAAAGGAAGGGAGGAAGAAAGGGAAGAACAAAGGAAGGAAGGAAACTGAGTCAAATTTGACTTCTACAGACTTCAGCTACATGTAGTTTTTATAGCAACAATACAGAACTTTGCCATTTTGTCCTCTTAGCCAAGCCCTTCAAAATCCAATCCGTTTATTTTTGTTTTTAGAGCAAAGCGTTGGGGACACGAATGTTCAAGCCCAGGAGGATTAGAAGTCTCAGAATTATTAATAAGCAACGATGAAATATTTTGGGCAGTTCCAGAAGAATACGCCAAGCTACGCCCGACACACGCCACTCAGTCCCTATGATTTGATCTAATGAAAAATGAAAGCTAATTTGTCGGTTGAATTCAACGGATACGGTCTCCCGTTAGCTGTCTTGTTCGGGGAAGGAAACCACCATTCAAAACAAAACAACCAAGTAGCAAATGTAACGAACGACACCCCGCACAACACAATACAACCCATATCCGGGTCTTGTGAAAATCCATCTCACAACGCCTAAGGCAGGGATAGGCAACCTTGGCTCTTTTATGACTGGTGGACTTCAACTCCCAGAATTCCTGAGCCAGCATGGCTCAGCTTTGAAACCTCTCCCTTTCCCCTCAGCATGGCTGGCTCAGGAATTCTGGGAGTTGAAGTCCACCAGTCATAAAAGAGCCAAGGTTGCCTACCTCTGGCCTAGGCCTAGGCCCCTTCATGACTCGTGGACTTCAATTCCCAGAATTCCTGAGTCAGCATGGCTCAGCTTGGAAACCTCTCCCTTTCCCCTCAGCATGGCTGGCTCAGGAATTCTGGGAGTTGAAGTCCACGAGTCATAACAGAGCCAAGGTTGCCTACCCCTGGCCTAAGGGAAATACAAATTTTTAGCACCTTGTTGAGGCCAAATCAGGAGAGGAGATGTATGGAAGAGGACCAGTGCAGACTCTTCCCTATTTTACCAGTTAATCCAGGTGTCACAAAACGAAAGCTTCTGAATCATAATTCACAGTATATTTGCTACCCACACACTTACCTGTCTCAGAAAGCAGCTTTGTGGCTTCTAACACTTTCTCGGTGTAAACCCCGGCTTCATAATTTTCCATCTCGGCATTGATGATGTGGATCACCCGGGCAGCACGGCCTCGAATCGCCCCGGCGGTTCTATCCAAGGTGTCAACATCACCTTCTTGCAGCGCAATCACACATTTATTGACATCCTCCAGGATGTGGTTTTCTGTAACAAAACATGGCCCAGGAGATTCATAAATAGGGTTCCGTCAAAGATACAGGTGGGTCCTCGACTTACGATCGCAAAATTCCCGTCCCTCAGCGAGAGAGTAAAATTTTGCCCCGTTTTACGACCTTTCTTTCTTGCCAAAGTTGTTAAACGAAACACTGCAGCTGTTGAGTCAGGGCCCAAAATTTGTGCTGCTAAGCGAGAACAGCTGTTAAGCGAGCTTTGCCCCGTTTTATGGCCTTTCTTGCCGCAGTTGTTAAGTGAACCGCCGCAAGTGCTAACTTAGTAATCCGGTTGCTAACTGAATCCAGCTTTCCCCCCTTGCCTTTGCTTGTCAGGAGGTCGCAAAAGGGGTCACGTGACATCTCACCCCCCCGGGAAACTGCGACTGTCATAAATACGAGTCAGGTGCCCAGCGTCTGCATTTTGATCACGTGACCTGCAATGGTCGTGTGGGAAAAAAGGTCATAAATCGCTTTTCTCCGTGCTGTTTTGAACTTTGAACGGTCACTAAATGAACTGTTGTAAGTCAAGGACCACCTATTTGCTCGCCGCGACATTAGGCGGCTTACAAATAAGACAAACACAAAGCAGAAAAAATAAAAATAAAACACACACACACACACAGCCACTCATCCCGGCGACAACACACACTCATGCCAGCCATTTAATGGGCTCCATCCTACTCTGGGTTCCCCAGGCCTGCTGGCAGAACACACATCTTCAGGACCTTCCACAAGAGTGTCAGAGTCAAGGGCCAATCTAATCTCTGCAGGGATGATGTTCCGGAGAGAGGGAGCCACCACGGAGAAGGCCTTTCTTTGGGGTCCCGCCAGGTGTAACTCCTTAGGGGACGGGACCCACAACATTCTTTGCCTCCCTGTTCTAGTGGGTCCCCTGGATGTGACTGGCAAGAGACGGTCCCTTAGATAAGCTGGTCCCATCCTTTTGGGGGTGACTGTCGTAACTATGAACAATCGCTAAGCAACCCATTGTAAGTCGAGGATTACGTGTATTCCTGCGTTGGGCTCAGATATAGGGAGTGGGCCAAAATGATCTCCTGAGCTTTATGGCCAGGTATGGATTTAAAACCTGGCTCTTCCCTATCATCCTTCAATGTTCTGCCCGCTCTTCTGTACGACTCCTATACTCAGCGACCAATATTTCCAGCGAAATACCTGAGACGGACAGGAAATCGTCCACAGAGGTGATGTCATCCACGGCCTCGGTGAGGACTCGCACCTGCTTCTCCCACTGGTCTTTGAAGACATCCATATTGTCTTGGGCCACTTTGCTCTGAGGTCTGGCAGCCAAGGTCAAAGCTGCATTTATCACCTACAAGATGGAAAGGGTTCTTGTGAATAGCAGTAACAGGACATCCCGTTCTCAAGGGCAAGGGAGCTCCAAACCCGGCCACTTGAAGGCTGGTGGACTTCAACTCCCAGAATTCCTCAGCCAGCCAGCATGGCTGGCTGAGGAATTCTGGGAGTTGAAGTCCACCAGCCTTCAAGTGGCCGGGTTTGGCTGGCTGAGGAATTCTGGGAATTGAAGTCCACAAGCCTTCAGTGGCCAGGTTTGGCTGGCTGAGGAATTCTGGGAGTTGAAGTCCACAAGCCTTCAAGTGGCCGGGTTGAGCTGGCTGAGGAATTCTGGGAGTTGAAGTCCACAAGCCTTCAAGTGGCCGGGTTGGGCTGGCTGAGGAATTCTGGGAGTTGAAGTCCACAAGCCTTGAGGTGGCCAGGTTTGGGGACCCCTGCTAAAGAGGGAAGAACTCATTTATTAAATATCTATGGAGATTCTCAGTCATCCAGGTTATGGTTTTCAGGTTATGGACTTCATCAGTTCCAAGAGGGTTCCACACCCATTTACACTATTCTGGTGACCCTGAGGGCACAGATAAACCTCCAATGGGCCTCAACGATTCTCAGAGAGAGTGCAAACGACTAGAGGACTGCAGGGGATATAAATCCTTCCGCCCTCCACCATTCAGTCAGAACTGAAGAAGCTGCTTAGATGAGAAGTGAAATGTCTTCAAGGAAAAAAATAATAATTAAAAAAAAAACAAAGAAACAAGAAAGTCCAGTTGCCTTTTGAAAAGCACATTTGGACAAGATTCCACATTCGGGGACAAGATTTGAGGGACTTCCTTTCTCCAGATGTTTCTTCCATCCAGTAGAGTTGCGCATAGTGAGCACCTTACACGATCGCATCAAGCAACAACAACAATAATAATAGAGTTAGAAGGGATCTTGGAGGTCATCTAGTCCAACCCCCTGCTCAGGCAGGAAACCCTATACCATTTCAGACAAATGGCTGTCCAGTCTCTTCTTAAAAAACTTCCACTGTTGGAGCATTCACCGCTTCTGGAGGCAGGTTGTTCCACTGGTTAATTGTTCTAACTGTCAAGAAATTTCTCCTTAGTTCTAGGTTGCTTCTCTCCTTGATTCGTTTCCATCCGTTGCTTCTTGTCCTGCCTTCAGGTGCTTTGGAGAATAGCTTGACTCCCTCTTCTTTGGGGCAGCCCCTGAGATACTGGAACAGCTGCTATCCTGTCCCCCCTCGTCCTTCTTTTCATTAAATGAGACGTACTTAATTCCAGCAATTGTTCTTTATACATTTTAGCCTCCAGTCCTCTGATCATCTTTGTTACTCTTCTCTGCACTCTTTCTAGAGTCTCTTCCAACAATTCAGCAGTATTATCTAGGGGGGCTTAGGACCCAGATCTTTTCCATCTGTCCTCTGGAATGACATTTTTCTAGAGATCTGGATGGAAGTTGCTGAAGATCTGAGTATTCTTCTAGATTTGGGGAGCAGGTTAATAATTGAACCCAAATTAGATGTTTGTTTGTTTTTACTTGTTTACACGACTCTCTCCAAGCTGCTTATGATTTTTTTTTTCCTTTTATCAAATTCTTCTTATTTTTTTAACTGTAAGCCACCTGGCTTCACTGGAAGTCAGGTAGCCTATAAATTATTTGTATGTGTAAATAAAATTGATTGATATTGTTGCCCTTAGTAAGACGCAGTGCCGTGAACACTGTTCTGCACTGACGTCTTTTACTGATTTTTATTGTGTTTTTATTGTGGGTTATGTTGCAGACGTGAAAGCTGCAGAGCATCAATCACACCGAAGCGGCATTGTAAACAAAGAAGCATGCTAATGAAGAGCTCAAAATTCATATGATTCTGGTTATTTTCCACAGGAAATGTATTTTGCTCTTTAGGAACAACAGAATAACAGAGTTGGAAGGGACTTTGGAGGTCTTCTAGTCCAACCTCAAGCAGGAAACCCTATGCCATTTCAGACAAATGGCTGTCCAGTCTCTTCTTAAAAACGTCCAGTGTTGGAGCATTCACTGCTTCTGGAGGCAGGTTGTTCCACTGGTTAATTGTTCTAACTGTCAGGAAGTTTCTCCTTAGTTCTAGGTTGGTTTTCTCCTTGAATAGTTTCCATCCGTTCTTTCTTGTCCTGCCTTCAGGTGCTTTGGAGAACAGAACATAGAAGATAGGGGGGGAAAAGAGTTGGAAGGGACCTTGGAGGTCTTCTAGTCCAACCCCCTGCTCAAGCAGAAGACCCTACCATTTCAGATAATAATATGACAGACACTTCTAAAGATTTCCCCTCCCTCTCCAAATAATAATATAAAGAAGACTCACCTGTGGGCATAAGCTATCAATCTGGGTTGCTGCCATCCGGACTAATTTCACACCTTCTTCGTTATTGGAAATGGAACAAGCCAAATTGGCAACCTGCAATTAAAGGCGGCAGAATCAATTTCAGAATCAGGAAATCAGAATATTTTATTCTCCATAAAGACAAAGCAAGCAAGCAAGCAAGGGAGCAAGATGGATAGAGAATTTTTTTTTTTAAAAAAAAAAAGTTAGATCACATCCTTTCCAAAGTGAAGACCAAAACTGAGAAAGCCACATTCCACTAAGCTGCAAAGTGGCTTTTGTAAACCCACTACCATAATTTATAAATCGCAGTTTGCAACTTAAGACAATCCAGGTAGTCCTCAACTTACGACGACAAAGTTCTGCTGCTAAGCAAGGCAGTTGTGAAGTGGGTTTTGACCCATTTTATGACCCCTTTTTGCCACAGTTGTTAAGTGAACCACTGTAGTTGTTAAGTTAGTTAGTCCTGGCTGAGGAATTCTGGGAGTTGAAGTCCACAAGTAAAAAAAGGGCCAAGTTTGAAGACCCTTGACCAATGTCTTTAAGATCTGTGGACTTCAACTCCCAGAATTCTTCAGCCAAGCACGCTGGTTGAGGAATTCTGGGAGTTGAAGTCCACAAGTCATAAAAGGGCCAAGTTTGAAGACCCCTGATCAAGGCCTTTAAGATCTGTGGACTTCAACTCCCAGAATTCCTCAGCCAGGCACGCTGACTGAGGAATTCTGGGAGTTGAAGTCCACAAGTCATCAAAGGGCCAGGTTTGAAGACCCCTGAGTTAGTAGCACCATTGTTAAGTGAATCTTAAAATCTTACAATTGAAAAAAGGGATTTATGACCATTTTTTGCACTTACGACCATTGCAGCATCCCTGAGGGGGTCGCATGATCAAAATTCAGACGTTTGGCAACTGACTCACATTTACGACGGTCGCCGTGTCCTGGAGTCACGTGATCTCCTTTTACGACCTTCTGACAAGCAAAGTCAATGGGGGGGGAAGCCAGTTTCGCTTCACAACCGCGTTCCTAACTTAATGACTGCAGCGATTCACTTAACCGCCGTGGCGAGAAAGGTCATAAAATGAGGATAATGTCACTGAACAACTGTCTCACTTAGCAGCCGAAATTTTGGGCTCCACTGTGGTCGTAAGTCAAGGACTACACTGGAAGTTTTTAAGAAGAGACTGGACAGCCATTTGTCCGAAATGGTATAGGGTTTCCTGCCTGAGCAGGGTGTTGGACTAGATGACTTGCATGGTCCCTTCCAACTTTATTATTATTATTATTATTATTATTATTATTATTATTATTATTATTATTATTATTATTATTATGGATCATCGCACAGTCAGCCAGATGTTCAGACTGGATTTGGCATTTTTGTCTACCTACAGTATCGAGTCCTTACCCAGGACCTGGGATAGGCAGATGTGGATGTTTGATGGTATTACAGATATTGTCGCAGGATGGAAGCGGTTCCTAGTAAGGCTGCCTTTTGCAATTGACTAATGGCGAATTTGTCAATGCCAATGGTGTTCAAGTGGTGCTCCAGTTGTTTTGGGATTGCACCCAAGGCGCCTATTACTATTGGGACTACCTTTGCTTGCCTTTGCCACAGTCTTTCTATTTCTATTTGTAGGTCTTTGTATTTTGTTATCTTCTCCAGGAACGTTGTCCATGGGGTCGCGATGGGTTGGACACGACATCGCAATTAACAACAACAATTATTGCTGCTGCTGCTACTACTACTACTACTACTACTACTGTTGTGTCCTGAGCCTGCAAAAGCAGGCTCGGGACGTTGCAAGAGTCCCGGGCATTTGCAAAAGCTGCCCGGGACCAGACTGAGTGGCGCCGGCCTTGTGCGCATGCGCAAGGCGGGAAAAGACCGCCTTATGATTGGTTGGATTTGCCCGGGGATCAGAAGGTATAAATAGAGGCCTGCGTGCCTCTGCTCGGGTTGTTCGTAGATTGGAAGCAGAGAATAAAGACTTGTTAGAAATGCTTCGTCTCAAGCGCCATTATTCTCCGGACTTAACTACTACTACTACTACTACTATTATTATTATTATTATTTGTAGATTGCTCCTCCTGTTATTTAGAATCGCCTGATTCCATCCATAGGAGATAAGATAAGATAAGATAAGATAAGATAACCTTTATTGTCATTTTTTTTTACTGTGGGCACAACGGCACACATCAAAAACGAAATTTAGTTGCTGATGGTTACTGGTGCCAATTTGCTGCTTCTCTCCCTCTCAGTTCATTGGAGTGGAAGCAAACGTGGTTTGAGGCTGAGCCCATATTCCCCCCCCCAAACATTGTCTGCTTGCAGAAGCCAACAGTTCTGAACAAAGAGGTCACTGCTAGCATGGCTGCCGCTCTCCCTTTTGCCAAGGGGATTGATGATTGCGAGGCACAACACTTCAGATTTGAAGCCTCCAGCCTGAAGCCAGAGATCCAGCTGTTTTAGGAGTCTGCTTCTGCAAAAGCCATCCAGATGCCTCCTAGGCAGCCCACCAGCAAGTTTCTGTTTCCCACCGGCTAATATCAAAAGGCTGATGGCTTCCGTTATTGGAGATGACAGCCTTTTTACTCTCCACGGATGTGTTTCATGCTCTTTTCAAACTGCACACAGGGTCAGTGGATATGACCATGACCGTTCCCACGCTGGGATTTATAGCATCCGCCAGTCGCCCACTAGAAGGTCCTGTCTTCACTAGTGATGGTTCACCATAGCAACGGTGGGATAATGCTACAAGAAGCCATGAAGTCACCGGAGGGGGGGGAAAATGGTCTACAGTGTGCAGGAGCGAGCGTTGAAGATTCACCCATGAACTGGAGGTGTTTTGTTTTACTTGTCCAGAGTCACTTTGCAGAACGGCGGAGTTGGAAGGGACCCGTGGAGGTCTTCTAGTCCAACCCCCCCTCCCTGCTCAAGAAACTTAGATACTGGAGGTTTAAAAAAAGACATCGGACAACCATTTGTCTGAAAGTAGAATAGAATAGAATAGAATAGAATAGAATAGAATAGAATAGAATAGAATAGAATAGAAATAAGAATTAGAATAGAATAGAATAGAATAGAAATGAGAATTAGAATTAGAATAGAATAGAATAGAATAGAATAGAATAGAATAGAATAGAAATAAGAATTAGAATAGAATAGGAAAGAATAGAATAGAATAGAATAGAATAGAATAGAATAGAAATAAGAATTAGAATAGAATAGAATAGAAATGAGAATTAGAATTAGAATAGAATAGAATAGAATAGAATAGAATAGAATAGAAATAAGAATTAGAATAGAATAGGAAAGAATAGAATAGAATAGAATAGAATAGAATAGAATAGAATAGAATAGAATAGAATAGAAATAAGAATTAGAATAGAATAGAATATAATAGAATAGGAAAGAATAGAATAGAATAGAATAGAATAGAATAGAATAGAATAGAATAGAATAGAATAGAAATAAGAATTAGAATAGAATAGAACAGAATAGAACAGAATGGAATATAAATAAGAATTAGAATAGAATAGGAAAGAATAGAATAGAATAGAATAGAATAGAATAGAATAGAATAGAATAGAATTAAGAATATTCTGTTGTATTCTAATTCTAATTCTTATTCCTATTCTTATTTTCTATTCTATTCTATTCTATTCTATTCTATTTTCTATTCTATTCTATTCTCCTCACTTTCTAAAATCTCCCCTCTGTCTGCATCCCTGTTCTTTCTCAGAAGATGAGATTCACGAGAAGGGATCGTGACTTGTACACTTTCCATCCCAAGGTAGCTAAGAAACGGATGAACCAGCCAACCCGCAAACCACATCAGCAAAGGTTGCACACGAAATATTTATCAGAATCGAAGCAGATCGGCCTTGGATCACCGCAGAGGTTCCTGACTCTGAAACTCTTAATTCTTTGAACAAGAACACGGACGGAAATGAATATTCTGCTTTGGTTTTATTTATTTTGCCCCGAGGTTACGCTACAGTACCGGCTGGAAATTATTCATGAAGAAGTTCAAACAGCCCTCTTTCTCCCCGTTTCTTTTGGTCTGCGCTCGTGGCATTAATCTGTTCCCGTTTCCAATTGCGCGACGCGATATAATTACGGGTCCATCTGTTTGAGGAGCGCCCTCCCCACACTGCAGCCAGCCCCAATTTCGCTCCGACGTTATCAAGGAACGCGGCTTGCAGGCCTCAATGGGTCAGGATCCCAGGGAAAAACAACCCCCTTACTCTGGATTGCAAAAAGGGGCCTTCAGGATATGCCCTAGCCTAGCTTTTTTCTTCTTCTTTAAATAACTTCAACACGTGAAATCTGAATTTTGTCGGAAGGGGGAAGAAGACAAATGAATTGGCTGCTTTGCTAACAGCCCGGGGTCAGAAATGGCGCTTTCAGATGCCCCCCCCCCCAAAGCTGGTCTCCTATGTTTGCTAGTCTGCTGCTGTTTTGCATACATCAAACAACATTGCTCCTTTCCGTTAAAATGACCCAAGGCTACAACGAATAGTAATCATAATGCAGAGGCAGAAGGGGAAGGAAAAAAAAATCAGATGCTTTAAGTCAGACGCAGAATGCAGGATTAAAGAGCCTGTAACAGGAAGACCTGGAGGAACGTTGTCCATGGGGTCGCGATGGGTCGGACACGACTTCGCAATTAACAACAACAACAGCAGCAGCCCACAGCTTTTGTGGCTTGGCGGCTCACCGGGGGTGAGGGGGGAAAAGAGGAACTAGGCCGCCAAGTGCTCCAGCCAGCCACTCGCGTGGCCCAATTCCGAATAGGCCACGGCCCGGTAGTGGGCGCAGCCCAGGGGTTGGGGACCCCTGGCCTATAAATATTTGCCACCAACCGTATTATGAAGTTTGCAGATGATACAACAGCAGTGGGCCTTATTCATGACGACAACGAGGGTGCTTACCGCAAGGAGGTTGAGGGTTTGGTGAACTGGTGTAAGGAAAAGAGCCTCGTTTTAAATACTGGAAAAAACCAAAGAGATCATTGTCGATTTCAGAAAAGGCAGGCCCAGCCACACTCCTCTGTGCATTAATGATTCACAAAT